AATATACTGAAGTCAAGATAAGAATGGAAATGTTTTCCTAGAATTTAGTGACTCAGGTCAATGACAATTTTGGCAAAAGCTACTTTCAGTGGATAAGATAGCACAATGAATTAATTTGTGTGGCATGGAGAACTGGAGACAGGGAATGCCAATTTTGTGTTCATTCATTTGGTAATTCATCAGACCTTTCTTCTTCATTGAAAACATTTTCCAAGATAATATTTTTGACTGGCACTAAATGAAGACTTTCAATAGTGAAAGTAGTAGTACACATGAAAAAAAGAAATACTGTTGAAAGATAGGAAAATATTTCCTCTGAAGGATAGTCACCAATGAAGAAATTACTAAAACAGAGCAGAGCAAGGCATTGACAGAGCAGACCAGGTCCCAAACACGGTAAGCTGGTAGAAGAATGAATACCATTTAAAGGGAGCCCTTCTGTTGAGCTTGTGTAATTTATGCCTCTTGATTGGACCCTGACTTATACAAATGGATAAGACATAATTCCACCAAAAGGAAATCTGAGCACTTATAAAGGCAACTATATGCTAAATAGCCAAAGAAATATTAAGGACTGTCTTCCTGTTAACTCTGCTTATTTCTCTAATTTAATCTCTTCATTTCCTTCACCATGCAAAGATACCCCAATCATTGATATAACCACAATTCTCTGTATTTTCTTTGCTTTATTTTATTTCTATATCAAAATACCTCTGTTCTTTGTAACTTCATAAAGATTACTAACACTTATGTAATAATACTTAAAATAACATATGACCACTCCATAACACTTTTCTGTGCTATAGTACTCTGTGTACCCTCTAATATCCTATGCATTTTGTCTTCTCTTGCCCACATAAGATTTTAATCTTTGAGTATTTGACTAACTCTTATAATACAATCTCTCAGAAATAAGAGCACTTTCGACAGAGTAAACAGCACATATTTTACAATTTTGTTATATAAGAATAAGTCCCCCTGAATAATAAAGAAAGTGATAATAAAATAGTAATAATAGGCAGCATTTATTAAGCACAGTGCTAACCACCACTGCTTTTATATTACTTAAAGATCTCCACAATAATCATTGACATATTATAGTCTTTCATTTTATTGTTTCACTTCTTAAAAAAAAAAAAAAAAACTGGGGCATAGAAAAGTTAAGTAACTTTCCAAAGAACACACAGACTAAATGGTAGAGCTAGGATCTAATTTAGGCAATCTTCCAGACCCAATAATCTATGCTACTATTCTACATTATATTTTAATTCCTACTTTATAGGAGATATATGAAGTAGAACCAAAACTGAGTGACCAGTTATAAAAAGAAAGATATTTACATAGTTATAACATATTTACATAGCTTATAACTATGTAAATAATTCTTCATTTACACAAACACTAATGGAAATATTCAGTGATAAGAATGTTTATACATATATGTAGTAGAACTGGTGGTCTTCTCTACTTTTCAATATTTTTATAATTTCTTCACTTTGCTTTTGTAAAAGTGAAAAATGTTCTTAAAGGCAGTATAGTATAAGGAATATTTACCAATCCACTGCTTGTAGCACTAACTCAGCCATAATGGATTCATTCTAGACACATCAGATTAAATCAGATTCCGAATTAGGTAGATGTTTATTTTTGTGTAAAAGAATTAGTTAGGCAAAATAAGTAATTATGACTAATTCTAGAATGAAACAGTATCTATTGATCATAAAAGATAATATCATCAAGCACTACCTTAAAGATTATAAAATGTCTTACCAAATGATACCCCCTCATCTTTCAATTGCTGGTCATATTTCTTGGATAAATTGAAGATACTTGCTGCATAGTTTTCCAAAGCTGTTCCATAGTCTTGAATATTGAAAGGAATGATTATAGATTCTGCAAGCTCTTATACCAGTGCTCCTCGTAATTGAGCCACAGAGAGCTGTTTCTTAAATGTGGGGTAATAAAAATTCTCTACTAATTCAAATGTTTCATAAATTGTGTGATATACAGGGTAGCTGCTGTATTTATCTGTTTTCTAAAAAAGAGAAGATGCAAGTGTAAAATAAAATTGGATATTTATTCAAATTAAAATATTTTATGTAATCAAGAGAAGTGACTGAAGAATTAATATGTATCCTGAGTTTTAACATAATAAAGCAAAAATATTGAAATTTGATTAACTAAAATATTGCAACCAAAAATTCACTGATTTAAAATTTTACCCTTATTCATTTTATATTCATGCAGCTTTTATTCAAAATGCCGCTGCTTGAAGTTTTTATTTATTGTATTTCTAATAACTAAAATTAAGGCATATATATTTGATCTGCACATTAGCAGTTTGAAATTATCCATCAATTGGGAATTAAAGGTGCTTGGTAGTTAGGTATTTATTCAACTGAACAATGGTGTATTTGATGTCTTCCCTCCCCAAGAAGTGTATAACCAAATCATTTAACCTTTATTGTATAATTAAGAGCTACTATAATGAACATTAATTATGGTATAGTAGGATCATATAAAAATATATATAATTTTAGTTCTTACGTATACCTATCCTAAGTTTAGTTTACCACCTGCTACCTTGTAATAGGGTTATCATTCATATTATAATTCTTATTTAGTATCACTAGAAAAAAATTTGTCTTGGTCACTCTCCTTCTAATCGTCTGTTTCTAATCTGTAGTGGTCTTAGAAACTACATAGCTGCTCAAATTGATGACAGGGTACAAAAGTGAAAAGGCCTTGAAAATGAATTAAAAGCCCACCTTTTATGTACAGTTGACCACTAAACAACATTGGTGTTAGAGATGCTGATTTGTCCCCACACATATATTTCAAAATTCAAGGATAACTTTTGACTCACCAAAAACTGAACTACTAATATCCTGTTATTGACAGGAAGCCTAACTGAAAACAACAACAATTATCATATATTTTGTGTGTTATATTATTCTATATAGTGAAAATATGTGAGAATCAGAAAAGATTACTTTTTATTATGCTATGCAACTTACTGGAGAGACAACTGATAATGCAAGGATAATTAGTGTCATATGGCATTTGAAACAGATACTTGCAAGACTTAAGCTCACCACAATACAATAGAACACAGCTATGAAATTATTATAGTAGTATAGTGTAGACTATAATTAATTTTAATACTTCTTTACATGTTTATATTTCTTTCTCCTACAAATGATACCAGGTCTCCTTAAGCATTTGTGTGTAGGTTTTGATAAATTCTAAATAGTTATAATAAACTTTCCTGGTAGTAAATAATAACACAGACTATTATTTAAATAC